GCGCGATAACGAGACCCGTAAGAAGATATACCGGAAGGCCGTCAACTCCGGTTAGCTTCAACTGTTATTTGACATCAAAATGTGCAAGCTCCTATCGATCAGAGAGAAGCACAATGCGTTGGAAACGTCGTAACAGCTAGGTGCAATTCAGAGCTCCGTAGTCAAATCACTTGGGATTTCGCGAAAAACTGTCTACAATATTGTATCCCACTGAATGACTATCGGGGAATTTTTGAACGCTGGAGCATCTGAGGGAAGATACCACCTAAAAACTAACGAAAAGTTCAAGGCTTCGTCTACTGCTGAGGGAAGAACACAGGGAGTTCCCAATGGTTACCACTGTTGGTGACTGGAAAGTTTCAAACCCCACGATGCCTCCGAGGTATAGATGGAAAAAGTTTTCCATGCAGTTATAATTCTTCAAAGAACGCATGGATGACTTCTACATTATTATTATTATTATTATTATTATTTCACAGTTGGCTGTCCGATGTCAACCTTAAAATGGTTTCTCAAAGGCTCTCTATTTTACTATTTACGGACAACGCCCCCTGCCATAACCGAGCCGCAGTATTCTCCAATGTTAAATTGGTACGGCTGCCTCCAAAATGCTCTTCAATGTTACAACCAATGGACCAAGGCCTGATTTGGTCTTTCAAATGTTCGTTTCGGAAACATTTACTGGAATATGTTTTGTCTTTGGTCGAAGATGAGCAACGTAACATGAAAGCCGAGGTGGACATTCTCACGGCCATTCACCTGGTAAAGAAAGCTGGGGCGTCTGTGCATCCGCACGTATTGATCAACGCTTTCATGAAAGCAGGGTTCGAATCCACATTGATTCAGTCGGTGAAAAACGCGATTTGATCGAGGATTTTACTCAACATGTGTCTATTGATGAGTCTTTTTGAAGAATAAATCGCCTGTTTGGAATTTGATGAAGTGGGTTATTTAAATATTTTGTATTAAATCTCTTTTTTAGTCACTAGATGAATTCGTTCCGAATCAAGCTAAGAATCGCAAAGAAGATGAATGTGAGGTGGCGAATGCACCCGAAGTTATCTCAATCAGAGAGGAGCATAAGTTATTGGATCAATTGAAGCTGTTTGCCTTGGCTAATGCTCGGAGTTCGGGTCGATTATTGAAGTGTACAATTGCTTTAAACAGCGCGTGTGTTGATTTCCAAAGGACAGCCAAGCTGAGACAAACGACGATTTATGATTTTGCTAAGAACATCTTTGTAATCTGCAAAGTTTTTTTGCAATTCTGTGGGGCACATGAATGTGGTCATTTTTGCTACAGTGGTCAACAAAGCCATGGCCATTCGGTCTATCGATGGGCTCTGTGGCACTAACGTGCAAACGGGTGAGTGGAGTGAGATGTCAGATCCGAGCGATTGATAACTATCGTCGCGCGGACGCGCCTATGTGAATCAATGAACGATACTGTCATTTGTCCTAGAGCACCGATGAAATTAGACAGGTCATTTGCCAAAGGTCATCGTAACCCGGGTCTAAGGACAGTTTGTGAGACGCACTTTTAGTTCATGAGTCATAATTGTTTGAGAGTTGCGTAATTCCTGTAGATTGGTGTTAATGACCTTCGGTGGACTGAACAGGAGTGGATTTCTTCCAAGTAAACTCCCGTCTCACAATCGCCGGAAAATTTGCGCGAAAACCCGCTTAAAAAAATAGTGTGTGTATCTTAGACGAGCCAAACGGTGGCCCAGTGTTATCGCTGCTTGAACTTTTTCATTCCGAATCTCCCACATGGCGCATCGTTCCACAGCTGATTCTCTACCAGCAGCATCGGATTCGGAACATATCATCCTCCTGCCCGAAAGTCACACGACTGATCGGGTTCATTTATCGATCGGTCGAATGGTTCAGTCGCAACACGGGACCTGGTGCTTGCCCAGCTAGCCCGAGCGAGAAACCACATCTTGTCTATAACCGCGAGTCTTTAGCAGGGCCAGTGAACTTCGGCTGTACAGCAGGCGTGCCTTCACCACAGGGATAAACTGGACGTCATGTCCAGTGACAATGTGAAACGGTGGGGTAATCGGACTATCGTACTATCCGCATAGCAACATGGCATCTTAAAGTGAAAAGGTATGGTTTATGAATCACGTATTGAACCTAGTCCGACCAACAGCGATCATGATGAATGCATCAGTCGGTTTTAACACTGGTAACAACAAATCATGAATAAATTGCACAACGAACAATCAGTTTGAATATGGGAAAGAAGTCAATGTTCTGAGTATACTCGGTAGCAGATATTTCACTCATTTAGATGTTATTTCCTTCTCATCCCATTCGAACTGGCTCACCTTTGATTTCCTTGAATGGGTTAATAAGGATGTATTATAGCTAAAACAATTGTATATTATGATGGATGTCATATAATCAATTCTGTGGTTAGTCTAACATTGTAACGGAATGGAGGAATGTCTGGGACAATTGGGTCAGAAAAGTTCCCCTGAAGAAAGGTAAGTAGTTTCGGGATAACTAGGCAGAACTGAAAAAGGGCTGAATACCGCATGCAATGTACCGATATTAGGCTGAGGGCATCACAAAAGATTTAAATTTCTTCGATACACAGGATACGCAGGATGGTAGATCGTAATTCCGTTACAAATAAACAGTTTATAATTAAAAACATTGGGGACAACTAATGGGAATAACCTACTTTTCATCGATCCGCTTTATTTTGTCACAAAACTGCCGACCAGTTCTTATACTACTTATTAGCATCTACTACTATTTACCCTGCTATGTCGCAGTTCCTGGAATTTACCCATTTTTCGGATTCCCGAGGGATGTGACAGGAGATCGACCATACTTGAAATATTATTAGTGTAGTAATTTCAAGAAAAAGCATCGCTCGAATACCTGGATGGAAATTCAGAAAGCAACAGTGAAAAATTGCATGACGGGTTATTCTCCCTACGTTTAAAAGAGGGATGGATCATACAGGAATTTTTGTTGGTTTGAAGGCAACAATCCCGAGTAAAAATGAGCTATATATACCGGTTTTAACCGACATTGTTCAGTAAGTGGCAAGGTGTTGATGGCGTCTAAAGAGAAGACATTCGACTGAAGCAATGAAATCATAACCAGTTTTGCAGTTACTTGATTTCAAAAAGTTAGTTGGACTTCTAGAGTTTCCAACACGATGTTTACTTTAATTAAATTAACCGCCAATAACTCCTAATATGAGATCTATGGATTGGTTGGCTCTCTCTCGATGGAATCAAACTGGCCAATAACGTCATCTACGGTGATTGGCAGATACATAAAAATGGTCTTGAGCAACACATACAACACGAATCAAGGGTGGAGATGTTGTTGATTAAGGTGTATTAGACTAAACAAAGAAATAACCTATTCGCTCCCGTCAAACGGCTTCTCCGTGAACGATCACTTAACTTATGTAAGAGAAAAAGATACTGTTTGGAAACTTTTGTTTAAACATCTGTGAAAAAATTTCCTTGAGTACATCGAGTCACGTGGGAGTGGTCAGTGCACGGCAAATCGATGAATGTGCAGTGGTAACGAATCGTTAAGTAACAAT